TGAATTTTTGTTATGTATTGCAGTAATTCAGTTAATTTTTGCAATTAATTGTTGCCTGATTCTTCTTAGTGTTTTTATAAATTCGTAACCAAATCAAATCTTATTTGCTCAAATTTTTGTTATTTATTTGCTATAGCAAAAATTTTCATGCATTTTTGCCAAAACTGTTAATGTAAATACTATTATCATGATCTATTAGTTCTTATTTACAATTGAAAAAAATGTTAAACGATAAGCACAAACTAATACTTGAACTATATACTCTACACATGTATACTTATACTTTTAGCTAATTTACGTGAAATACTTATATTGCTTACAATTATATTCTGAATATAATTAATACATCAAATAAAATACTTTTCTTGTTGAGAAAATAACGTGATTTGATTGAATTGAGTAAGTATTTTGAATTTTTCTGTTTGATTTCTATATGGTCAGATCTACTAACTAAGTGAATGTGATGTACTTAACAAATCATCAGTAAACGATATAAGACAGTGATGGTAGTAGTAGTAATATTAGTAGCAGTAATGCCCATATAGAAAGCAAACAGAAATTGATAAAATATTTGAATTTAACATTTTTCCCTGCCTAAAGAAATATCAGATCATGCTAGATAACTTTTTCACATTTGCTAACTAAGTCTGCTAAGGTATGTATGTATGTGTATTTCAGTTTGACTTGACTTATCGTTGCTATGTGCGTAGAAGCTAACGTTATGGCCAAATAAAGCGATAATTTTAAATTTTATTTTGGTACGTTAATGATTTGCGTTTGTTTTATTATACGCGAGTCAATAACGCTTGAAATTATTGAAATTAGCAGGGAAAAATGTTAAATTCAAATATTTTATCAATTTTATATCAAAAAAATTCGTTTTTAGTCAAAAATAACGCAATTTTCTTGCAGACAACAGCGCGAGTTTCACTTCACGTTCTCGCATTTATTTTTTTACTAAACTATTTATTTGACTTTTTTAATTACTTTTTGTATTCTTAATTTCCATCTCCTGTTTATAAACGCATAGTTATGTGTATGATATGACTGTTGTTTGTATTTCTCTTCTTCTTGAACTTTTCAACAAGTTTGTCAACAAAAACTGCTCACTCGCTGTAAATTTTGTTTTTTGAAAACTTTTGTTTGTACAAAAATAATTTGCTTCAGTAGATAAGTACAAGTTAGAAGATTTGACTAGCAGAGAAACTAATTCTGATTTTAAATTTTAAGTTTTATTTTAAAATATTAATCCAGTTTTTGGCAACTCATAGCAATGTGCAGAATATTTTAAGCAGTTTTTTAATATTTTGTTATCTGTTTTTTTGCTTGCAAAGATTTCCCAAAACTTTTTTAAAAAATTCACAAAAATTCTAAAAAAATTTTAAAAAAACTAATGCTTTCTCATTTTAGTTTGTAAATTTTTGTAATTTATTAAATCAAATAATTGTGCAAAGCAAATACATCGCAATAACTTTGAATAATTTCAATCTGTTATTACAGTATTTTTGATGGCAATGTTTAGTGTAATTATGCATTCCAACTTTTTTAACTGCTAAAAATTTTTGGAAATTATGACAAAAATTTATCAAAATTAAGCAAAAAAAACTTGCACGAATAAAACTTGAAGAAGAAAATATCAAATTCAATTTATTTTTTCAGATATTAAAAAGTATGGTGTAGCAGGTAGTTGTAATTATGAAAATTTTCGACGGAACTGCTCACATCAAGGTTGTAGAAGCTCGTGACCTGCGGCCCACTGAATGGTCAAAAAGGTTAATCAGTTCAGATGTATTAAAATTTTGCTTGAGATACCGTAAATTTAATCAGTGAAGCATTTTGGTAATCAAAGAAGAAACTTTGTTTATTTATTATTTTGCAAAAAATTAGAAAAAGCAAAAATTATCTTTATTTTTAGTAATTTCGGAGTATAAACTTTCACCTTTTACTTTGGAAAAGTCAAACTTCGAAAAGAGTAATTTAAAAATAAACATTCATAAAGTGATCTCTTTTGCAGTTTGCAAACTCAAAATACCATTTTAATATTTATTACGCAAAATTTTTTCATCTCAGTGTTAACCTAATATTTGTTTTTCAGTCTTAAGTTGTAGAACAATTTCTGAGCATTGAAGTTTACAACTATCTCAATTTTCAATTTATAACAGATTCACAATCAGCGCAACAGAAACAGCATTGCTTGATGCATATGTAAATGTTGGTTGTGATGAGTACCACATTGGACGAACACAAACACGTCCTAAAACTTGTACTCCTATATGGAAAGAAGATTATGAGGTCAAAGTTCGAACTATTTTTGCTTCATAGTCAAAGATATTTCAAAGCACTAATATAAAGGGTAAAATTAATGATATTTTCATTTTTTGAAATTTTTGTGATTTTTCATATTTATTTTTAGACAGAAGTTCATAACGGTCGTGAGCTGGAATTCACAGTATTTCACGACTGTGCTTTGCCTCCTGATGATTTTGTAGCGAATTGTCATGTACAATTTGAAGATTTCCAAATTGGCATAAGCAACGATGTTTGGGTATAATTTTTTAAAAAATAATAATGATAATAATTTCAAATTTATTTTTGAAAATTTGATAAGCGCTCTTTTTTTGAAAAAAGCAGTTTTTATTTCAGTGTTTTACGTGAATGTATTGCAAGCATTTATCTGTATATAGCCAATGACTGAATTGCTTGTTATTCTATTTTGCGTGCATATTTATCCATGTGGAAAAATATACTTAGTTACAGCATTTTACAGATAAGAGTAAGCTGACTTTTCAGTGATGCACAATTAATAGTGAAAATAAATTATGAGTGCAAACTATAGGTTTTAGATAGATTACATTTCAGGTTGATTTGGAACCACATGGACAGTTACATCTCCTGATCGAACTTCATGGTTCATCTAGTGAAGGTCACAAAAATTTTAATGGGTCTTTGCATTCAGTAAAAAACAGTTTTTAATTTCAAAAACAATAACAGTAATATTAAAACCAGCTGTTATCATTATTGATAATATCATTATTACTGCTAATGCTATACTTAGTTATATATTATTATCAGAAATGACTTTAGCAAGGGTATCAAATTAAGAGCTGTTTTTCTGCCTGTAATGAAATGACAAAAACAGAATGTCTTATTTCAGAAGTACCTCAAAATGATGCAAGTAAAAAGCAACGAGTATTTCGAGAGCGTACTAATGCGTTTAACGACAGACAACGACGTGGTGCCATGCGTCGAAAAATTCATGAGGTTGTTAACTGATTTAATTTTTCCATCTAATGGTAGTTTGTTTATTCTGCAATATTTTAAGGGAAAGTTTTCTAGAGTTTCATATTAAAGCATAAGTTTTATCAGTTATTGCACATCTTGAAATCTGTGTATCACTTAAGTGATTACGTTAGATTGCAATAAATGAGTTAATTTTGGCCATCAAATAATTAGCAGTCTGCATGATAAAATTTAAGCTCTAAAGCTGTGAGGGATTTCCAACTAACTTATTGCTAGACATTATTATTGTATTAAAAATAAATTAACTGACATACTGAAAAGTAATTAAAAAAATTAATTGATAACTGGTTTATTCAGCATAAATATTTGAAATTAGTTCTCAAGAAAACATTTCATTTTTTTAGTGCATTTTGTATTAAATTAAGGTCACGGGACATAAATTTATGGCGTTATTTTTGCGTCAGCCAACATTTTGCGCCCACTGCAAAGACTTTATTTGGGGACTTGGAAAACAAGGCTATCAATGTCAAAGTAAGTCAAAAACTTATCGAATCATTTGAATAATATGCGAAAAGACGAAAGATGTAGCAGTAAAATGAACAAATGTTTTCATACTAATTATCTTATCATTGTTTTTATTATTCATAATATCGCGGAGGAATGTGCATTTGCTTCTTCAATGCTATTTTCAGCAGAAAAATTAATAAATAATGATATTTGATAGTTTTTGATATATTAAAATAATAAACTTTTCTGTAATTTTGAAGTATGCACAGTAGTCGTACACAAACGCTGTCATGAACAGGTGTTGTGGAAGTGTCCTGGAAGTCGAATTAACGCAACTGATGAATTCCAGACTGAAGCAGCTGAGGTGGAACTCTTATTTTTATTGTTTATTTCCTAAATTTTTGCTTAAATAATCAAACTCGTTTTTCAATCACAAAATAATTCATAAATTACTAATAAAAATAATAATAAATCATAAAAGTGACAAAAAAATAACGAAAAAAATCAGTTTTTCAAAATTAACAAATAATGCAAAATTTAATGCTCAAAGTATGACATGAAATGAAAAATATTTTCGTTTTTTTTTATTTTTGTTTTTTTCACAAAAAATTGGTTTTTCTTAAATTTTTTTCATAAAAAATCGGTTTTAAAAATTAATTCGGTTTTCAAAAAAACCGAATTATTTTATTCTATAAAATACTTTTTTAAAATATTTTTTCACAAAGTTTTTTTTTTCTTAAATTTTTTCACAAAAATTTGGTTTTTCAAAAAGATGTTTTTTTATGTTGTTAATAACTTTCAGAAATAAGCTATCTTACTTAATTTTCCGTTATTTCATTAATATAATTTTCTGACTAAATTTCAAATTTTATCAAAATTTCACTAATAAGCCTAAAAAATTCAATATTAAAAATTTTTCAATAAATTTTGATTTCTTTTTCTGCTAATAGCTTTCATTTTTGTTTTATTCTTAATACAAATTAGTAATTAATTATTCTATATACTAAATTTAAAAATTAGTAATTAATTACTCTGTATAATTAATCTATGTGCTAAATTTTTTCATCCCTTTAATTCATACATTCCAAATTGACTATTATCAATTAATTCGAATAAAAAGTAACGAATGGCGTTAGTTGTTAAGTTTATTTTGCATTAAAACTAGTCTGATTTAATTGTTTATTTTTTTAATTTGATTAATTCGACAATTATTCAAATAACTTCCGATAGTAAAAGCAGGTTTTCTTTACAGTTTTCGCTGCTATTAACATAATAAACAAATAAGTCAAATCAGAAATTCGTGAAAACTATCCTTCACAACTAATCATACATAATTTTTCTCGAAAGTATTGACTTGCGATATTTTAATTATTATTATTTGTAAGATTAAGTTTTTCGAATGATTGCAATTAGCATTCGTTACTTTTTATTCAGCTAAGAGTTTAATTTTGATTTATATTTAACAACAGATGATGTAAAAGTTTCGTTTATTCCGTTTTTATTTGTTACGCACAATTTTAAAGACTAGTAAAAAGAATTTTTATAACAAATATTTTTATTTTTTATTATTTGATATAAATAATTTATTTTTGATTTATATATAAATATATTTTTCACTTTGAAAAATCAAAAGTAAGTAAGTATAACTCTAGCAAGGCCTTGGTCGTTTCAATATCAATATGCCTCATCGTTTCACAGTTCACAGTTACAAACGTCCAACATTTTGTGACCACTGTGGTTCCATGCTATATGGTCTGATCAACCAAGGCTTACAGTGCTCTGTCTGTAAGCTTAATGTGCATAAACGGTTTGTACATTCTGCTTTGACTAACAAAAAATCATTTATTAATCGAAGTATTCAAAAGAAAGTTTACGTAATTGAATTTAGATGTCAACGTAATGTTGCTAATAACTGTGGTATTAATGCAAAGCAAATGGCATTAGAACTTGCTCAACTTGGCTTAACCGGTGATAAAATGTCCATAAGATTTAAAAAAAAAGTAAGTCAATATTTTACGCATAATTCTCATTCGTAAAAAATAAAAGTTTCATTTTTTGAAGTTCACTTTAAACATTTCTGTCTTCGATAAAGTCGAAATTGTGACATATTACTTGTGTGAAGTGTTTATTCATTTAAATACTTAATGCGAACAATTACAACAATTTTTTAGTTCCATAAAATGATAATAACTTTTGTATTGGTACCATCGAATTTAATTTTCACATCTTTACTTGAGTAGAATAGAAATATTTGACGTCATTGATATGATTGTCATTATGCTTATTTGAAAGTAAGCTTTTGTTATTATTACGAGGTTATTAATTGACGTTAACGGAGGGAAAATTTTGACATGTTAGAGATTCAAATATTATCAAAATACTTTTTGAATTGAAAAATGACAGTTTAAGAAACTTTATTACCTTCCGGTTTTTGTTTAGTTATTAGTTAATGCAACGAGTTTATTTACGTTCAATTCTTCCAACTTTTCTAGCGAAAATGCTTATAGTTTCAAGCATATATCATAAATTCAACAAAAAAATGTGTCTCAATCAGAATAAGCCTTTATTATACTTTTTCCTCACATTAACTTTCAGTGTTAAATCTAAACATTTTCAAATCTCATTAATTTACGAATTCGAAAAAACTGCTAAGACTATAAAATTATCAGTCGACTACTTGCAACTGAATTCGACAATTTAATTTTATCTCTTAAATATCCCATAAAGTTTATTTTTCAACTTTGACCTTGTTGTAAAAATTTTCATCGTTGCACAACATATTTTTTATTTTTTCAGTTGAGATTTGAGTTTCAATCATTAAAACATTAAAAAAAATAATATACAAGAATGTAATCAATTAATTGAAAATATTTTCGAGAATGAAAGTAGAAAATCATATTTTGTTTGATCTGCTTTGTTGTGTGATCAACTAGTAAACAATATGTGCCAGTCATTTGTATTGAATTATTAAATTACTCAAATAATGAATTACTTATTTGTATCCAATCTGAAGCACTGTTGAACAACTTTCATTGCATGCTTAAAAGAAAATGCAAAAATAAAAATACTTTCTAGCATTTTTGTTACGTCAATTACTTATAATCTACAAGTTACGTCATATAAATTTTTATTTTCAAACGCTTAGCAATATTGAATTCAAACCACAGAAACTCATCAAAATCGTTTATTTCCGCTTGTTTACAATTACATTATTCGATAAATTTAAATTGAAATGCAATGAAAGTTAGAAAATTTTTTTTCTTAAAGATAATTTACGCAAATCACACGTGTAAATCCTTCGATCCTTTTTTTAGTTTAAAAGAAATAAATTATTTTTTAATAATTTTGATGTATTACTTACCATTATCTCATTATAATCTAATGTTTAGAATTTTAAATGAGTTATTATTTTGACAACATAGTTTTTGAACTTACTACTTTTGATTATGCTTTTCAAATTGCAATATTTTTGTGGCTTTTTTAAAAATTCTTAACCTTCTTCCTTGATTACTTACTTTTAAGCCGTCGATAATGTCTTGCGGTGCCTATGAATCAAATATATTAGCTCCAAAAGCAAGCATTTCCGCCACTGCTTCAGTACCTCACTTATTGCTGAAACCTAATGAGAATGGTACTATTTTCAGCTGTTTAGTATTAATTAGTGCAAAGAAAAATTGTTTTTACTATGCAAAAATTTAATTTGGTATATGATTTCAAATATCCTAATTATTTTTAAATTATTTAATATTATCAAACTTTCATACAGTTGCATTCAACTTATTCTCAAAGTTTAAAAATTTTAAATTAAAAAATATACGTGATGGATATTCATACTTTCGATCACTGTAAAACAATAAAGTTCGTCTAGAAAGTTTATGACCATATTTTTGTGATAATAATAATGTAAATATAAAAATTGTTCCTTAATACTTTGGGTAATAAGTTAATAAAATGAGTTTTTATTAGCTTGTGCAATCTTTTGATTTAAATTAAAAATGTTGCTTAAAAACTAATTAAAAAACTAATTAATTAATTAATTGATTAATTAAATTGTAAACAGAGAAATTAGCAGTAGCAGCAGCAAAGAATGACCATCAGCTTGGAAATAAAAGAAGTGCTGAAAATATTTCTTGTGTTTCGCTACCTGAAAAACTAGCTGCTGTGACGATCAGCGACTTTACTTTTATCAAAGTTCTTGGCAAGGGATCATTTGGCAAAGTTTGAATTTTCCTTTCACTTTTTTATTCTGTTTTTGAAAAGTAAGTTTGGAGAGTTAATTACAATCAATGTTGGATACTTGGAACTGCAAGAAAGTTCAGAAAATTAAAGAACTGATTACTTTTTGATTTGACTAAAATCATTATTAGTCTGATGTGTTGCATACCATCACATCATACTTCCTTATATGGATTATCATGAACAGACTTAGATAATTATGAGATTGTTGCAAAGTATTGATACTTTCTAGATTTTCTAGAAGTTAGCGAGATTTGCAGGTGATGTTGGCAGAGCGCAAAGGTACTGACCAAGTATATGCTATCAAAATTTTGAAGAAAGATGTAATTCTGCAAGATGACGATGTCGAATGCACAATGTGTGAGAAACGGATACTAGCTTTGGCAGCAAAACATCCTTTTCTTACAGCTATCCATTCTTGTTTTCAAACCGTGGTAAACTCTAATACTTATTACTGTCAGCTGTTTATTAATAATAGTACTATCACTGATTATCATTTCTTTATCACTACTATTTACTCAGTCTATTGTTAACACAATTGTTAAAAGTCATGCAATTTACATTTAATAAAAAAACTTGATCTGTTCTTAATGCACAGGATCGATTGTTTTTTGTTATGGAATATGTAAATGGTGGTGATCTGATGTTTCAAATACAACGTGCACGTAAATTTGATGAGCCACGAGCTAGGTTTTATTCCGCTGAAGTGACTTGTGCATTACAGTTTTTACACCGTAATGGCGTTATATATCGGTTAACTTTTTTAATATTTGAAAAATTTGTTTTTTTTTCGAAGAAATATTTGAATATTTGTAAAATTTGTATTTCTTTCTTCAGGATCACTGAAATAATTTGTAAGTTTTTTTTATTCATATTGTAGCACAAAATTTGAATATGACAATTTTTAAGCAAATGTAACACTTTAATTCGCTAAAATTATTTCGCTAGTTTCTGATGAATAAAGGTTTTTGATGAGAATTTGAAAAATAAAGAAGTGTCCTCATAACATAATAATTAATAAAGTTCTGTAAATAATAAGAATTTCAGTGATCTCAAACTTGATAACATTTTGCTGGATTCTGAAGGACACTGTCGATTAGCAGATTTTGGAATGTGCAAGGAAGGTATTACAAGTTCAAAGCTTACTTCAACATTTTGTGGCACGCCCGATTATATAGCGCCAGAAGTTAGTGTTTTGCACTCTAACATATTATAATAATGCATTTGATGCACATTAATTACTTTTAATTTTTAAACACTTTCCATTTTAACTCATATGCATATATTTCTAGTGAATATTCGTAATCTTATTGTCATAAATTCAAATTAAGCCTTCAGATTTTACAAGAAATGGAGTACGGTATATCAGTTGACTGGTGGGCACTGGGCGTTTTAATGTACGAAATGATGGCTGGACAGCCGCCATTCGATGCTGACAATGAAGATGACTTATTCGAAGCAATTTTGCACGATGATGTTCTCTATCCTGTTTGGCTTTCTAAAGAAGCTGTGAGCATTCTGAAAGCGGTGGGTTCAAAGTTCACGCAACTCAGTCAAAACTTATTCTTGCAAAATTTACTTACATCACGACGACATGTTAACAGCTGCAAAACTTACAATGACAATAATTGAAAAAGTGAAATATAATGGAAATAGACAAATAGTTTGTTCCTGTAACGAATGTAATTCAATTGGATGTAATAGTTAAGTGTGTAGATCTAATTGTTTCAGTGTAATGGTCAACTATTTGAATATAGTTCATCAATTCAGAGTTGACTTATTGACCTTTCATTATATATTCATCAAATTCAAATTTAAATTTTTACGATTTACCAAATTTGAATAATCAGATTCAATAACATTATGAACCTTCAAATACTTTGCTAGAAAAGATTGACCAATTCAGAAAAAAATTGAATTTAGTTAATGACGAAAAATGTAATGAAACGTTTGGGCTGCGTACAATCGCAAGGAGGTGAAGATGCAATTCGCGCACATCCCTTTTTCCGCGATATTGACTGGGAGGCCTTGGAGGCTCGAAGGGTCAAACCACCATTCAAGCCTAAAATTGTAAAACTATACTCATTATTGAATCTGTAATCAATCAATTAACAAAATTTAATTCATTATAAAAATTTATTGAGGGAGAGATTAATTTGCATGGTAATGAATAATTTTTTAAATTAGAAAATCATCTTATCTACGATTTTTCCAATAAATAATTCAAAATTATATTTTATAATATCTCGAGTCCATGACTTTAGTACTTATTTTTTGAGACGCTTTTACTCAAAATACTTGTTTGAATTTTAAAATTCTATCAAATTTTTTAATAATTGATTATAGAAATCAAAGCGTGATGCAAATAACTTTGATACCGATTTTACAAAAGAAGAACCAGTGCTTACACCGACAGAACCAGCTATATTAAGAACGATTAACCAAGACGAATTTCAGAATTTTTCATTCGTAAATCCCGATTTTACTCTCGATCACTAAGATTTATTTGCCATCAAGACTGCATTATTTGTGTTATTTTTATTTCTATTTTTTATATACCCACTGATCATCCACTGATTCTTTGCTTGCAAGTATCACTGAACTCTGTCAAATCATTGTAGATGGTATATATACTTCCGTTTTGATATAAAATGTACAGATAAGATGAACCACATTATCATCGTATGGATGTTTAGGCCATATTTCTTTAATATTTGTTGTTTTTAAAATTAAATATTTTTTATTAAATTGTGATTTGTATAAGAAGGTAATACTTTCTCAAAACTTGACTTATGTTTTTTCTTAATATAGCAATACGGATTGTATTTACAAGATTTAAATCATATAGAAGTCATTTTTAAGAACATTTTCGCACGAAATTTTGAAAATTTTCGAGATGATTAGCTCAAGAAAGTTTTTAAAGCCTAGCTATTTAATGAAGAAAAAAATTGAATCGCATATATAATCTAAACTCAAATTTTAAATTCTTATCTACCACTTGCCATATTGAAATGCGACCAGATATTGTTAACGGATGCGAAATAAAGTGCAGCATACTTCAGGCCTTTAAATTTGAATTTGAATCAAATTTAAATTACTTTTTGGCAGTAATTCTTCGAAATTTATTTAATTTTGAGTAGTCTTGTTTGCATGATATTGAAACTTTCTGATGCGTCATTGAACAATTAATTAATTGCTTCTAGCGTCAGGTATGATTGTTTTGCTTCACTTTTCTACGTCATCTGTTTTGAATATACTGATTTAAACTTTGTATATACAGTTACCCTTTTGCATTGTGTATATTTGGTAGGTGATGCTCCATTTATATAGTAGTTTTTTGTAAAGCTTGCAGTGTTTGTTCTTCGTATTTAGGCTTACATGGATAGTTCGTTTTCATCTAATACTATTAATCATAATGAATTCATACTCGTGACCAGAAATTTGCATAAACAATAAGTTTGACATTGCGAATATTTCAAAAGTGTTCACACAAAGTAAACTTTTCAACAAACTTTGCATTTACAGAAATGAAATGAAGCTAAAATTAAATATAGAACTGCGATTAGTCTTGTATGAGCTAGTAGATAAAGCATCTTTAATTTCAGCCAGTAACTTTAATTTTACTCTTGTGTTATCTATTTTATAGTAAGTTTTAAAGTGACCATTTATAGCACTCATTTATTTGTAATAATTTTTTAAATATTTTAATATTTTGTCTCAATGCTAATTTACGAGTTTTAAAGGTACCCAAAAGCTTTTGAGGTCAACTAGTTGACTTTACTCCATAAATTGTTTGACTTTCTATCTTTGTGTTTTGGTATTATCAAATTTGCCGTCCATAAATAATACACTGCAAAACTTCTTCATTTTATCAGTTTTTGTCATTCAAGGAGAGGTCAGAATAAATGAACTCAGTTGCTTGAATATGAAAATATATTAAAGCATTCTCTATTTCAAGAGGGCTCAATGTTTTCTTTAGTATAAGTATTATTATGCTTGTGCGCAGTACTGTATTTTAAAGTGTAACTTTGATAAACATCTAACTTATTATTACTAATAAATGAATAAATGAAATTTGAAGGTTAGTTTTAATTTTCGCTTCATTGGTTCTGGCGCTGGATCGCATTCTGGCATTCTGGCAGTACAAGTATGCTGATTGCAGCTTTCATTCTGACTGCAATTCTCATTCGCGTATCGATTTTGTTCTCAACGTTCTCATTTGCGACGACCTCCTAAACAGAATGGCTTCGCAAGCGCGGGAATGCTTTCAGAGCATACTTCTTGCAAAGTCCTAAGTGCACCTTATTGTGTCTTCTAGTATAGTCGTGATGTAACATTTTTAATAAAATTTGTAATTAAAGATAAGTTATTGTACGATGTGAATTGAATCGCAATTATTTTTTTCTAGTGAATACTCCAACACAGCTCAGTCAGTATTCTTGATTGCCTTTAAAAGCTATGCGGTAGAAAATTATTGAAATTATTTTCTCAGATATTTTTTGTAAACTAACTTTTTAGCTATTTCTGTTAAGCAGATACAAACGTTTGCTTTTCAATTGGTTACTACTATTATCTTTGTGGTCAAATTTTTATGATTAAAAAGTTAGTTTTCAATGAAAGTTTTCTTATCGTTTTGAAATAAGCAAAAAAACAATGCTGAGTGGTTAGTTTACTAAAATTTTAATTTGTTATAAAAAATCAAAAATATTTATTCGTTAGAAGTGTAAGAAGCTCCGAAGGACCACTGTAATGTTGCGTTGTCCACTACAATTTCAAACTTTATTACAGCTTGTATATATCAAAGCACAAGTTAAATAATAACATAGACATGGACATGCAAAAATTTCCATGCTAATTTATCAGTATTTTGAGGTTAATCAGTAAGTAAATATCACTACTTTTGTCATTGTTCACTAGTATGAGTTAAAAGGGATTCAAAAAATTGCATGCTGATTCTGTAAATTTTCACTGAGATGTGTGATTTTCATTTCAAAACAATTTATTGTTTCTTCATTAATTCAAAAAGGGATAAAATAAATTAGTTATTAAAAATAATATAATTAATTAGTGAAGCAATTAGTAAGTAGTCATAATTTGTTAGTGAAACAAGTGAGTAGCCATTATCATTAGTGAGTAGCCAACATCATTAGTGAGTAGCCAATACCATTAGTTAGTAGCCATTATCATATTCGTTCACTTATTGAAATGGAATTCGCTTATTTTCTGATGGACTGTTGCGTTTGTATTCAACTATGTACTGTGGATTTTTTATCGGTATCTATACATTAATAAATTTTATAATATTCAGATTGCAAATACGAAAAAACGTTAAATTTAACGCATTTATGTGAGAAAAGCAGTCAAGACATTTTTATTTTGGATAAGTCAATGGACCAATTTTTTTATCGAAAATTCTTGGAGTGAAATTTTGTATAAATTTGCATCCAAATTAACCATTAAACATAGTCTAATTATTTTTTAGCTTAGTAATAATAAAATTAATAAACAAAAATAAAAATTACTTTTGTAAGTTTGCGCCTTCTTTTGGAAATAACTTCTTTGCTGCTTACTTCATCGTTTAAATTGACCATTGACCTGACAGTGTTGCTAAATATTACCTGCGTCGTGAAAAATGTCGCATCACGAGATTGTAAATAATCTAGCGATGCATATGGATCCATAATAATCCTAAATTTTTACTTTTAAAATCGGAAAGTTTTAGCGAGAAATACTAATAGCAAATATCGCACAAACGTGTAGAAACAATTTGCTTCTAATTGTTATGCAAATAAAAAAGTTTATTTCAAAAACGTTAAAATTTGCATACTTAGTTTCAGGCATTTTTACAAGTTTCCTTAATCCAGATTGAACTTCCAATAAAAGTTCAGAATCCATAGGCAAATCTTCATCTGTTGCCTCATCAACACTTTCATCATCATCAATCTAAATAATTTCAATCTTTCAAAAGTATTAAAACAATATTTGTTTTTTTTATTTGATGAATACAAAAAAACTCTTACTGTATTTGTTATACTCCAAAATGGTATGTCGTCGTCATCCAGTAATTGTCCATCGTCATCGTTTTTCACTCTCGAAACTAAGGATGCTTCCTTCTGAAATTAATCAGTAATTAATACTGATTTCATTGTAGACAGCATAAAAGTTTGATTTTAATTAATAATTTCATAAATAAAATTATTGGTCTGTCCAAATTACTGCAACCATACCTTATTCTGAAGTAAGAATTACTTCAGTTTCATTTACTTTCGAGCTGATAACTTTTGATTTAATACTTTTATTTGCAGAAAATAACCTTTGGCGGATAAATATTTGCAGTCTTTTGCTTTTTTCTTGTTTCTGGCGAACATCTGAAACCATTTACAATCTTTTTCTCAGTTTTTCTTGAATTTTCATTGATTACAAACTTTTGTGCCTTCAAACGTGATAATTGCAACCATTAAATCACTTTTAGATGAATTTTCAAGTCTTTCAATTCAAATTATGCGCAAATAAATAAAAAATTTGCATATCTGATACAGACTTTTTGGTGTTTTTAGTGCTATTCAAGACAAATCTGACAGATTTTTTGAATTATTATCGAATTGTTGTCTATAATTGCTATTTCAGGTCAATTAAAAAAGTTTTATGATGTTACTGAGTTATTCTTAAAATACCTGTCAATTTGGCGTTTTGATGGAAATTTTTCGTCTGCACTGCGTAATGGTGTTTCAGGCTCTTTCTGAAATTTGAATAATTTTTTTTTTCAAATACAAGTCATTTTAACATTTGCAATTGTTAGGAATTTTGAATTCATTAACACTCTGCATTAATTATTGAACTTTTTTAGAAAAAAGATTTTTATTTCAATTTTTGAATATTAGAATAGGCTATGATTAAAAAATTTGAATAGAATTGGAATTTAATTTCAATTAAAATTATTTGCCAGTTTAAAAAATGCGTAAAAATAGCTGTAAAATATTCTAAAATAATGAGTTCTGTTGAAGAAAAATTAGTTAAATGGAAAACTATTTTTTGTACAAATTGAGTTAGTGTGAGTACCGTTTTAGGAATTCCCTCCTTCCGAAGTTCATTTCGTTTTTTAATTTTTTCTACAACCTTTTGTACGGATGTTTCACGCATAGGTCGACTAAATAGTGCTTTAATTCTTTCTCGCGCACCTTAAAAAATTCATTTCATTAAGTTGTGATTAATTACTTTTGGCTTAACGACATATAAAAAATAGTAATTTAAAAATACTTTAATCATTATTAATGACAGTTGTACTTTTTTTGTTATTTTTTAAGTGATAATTAATTCTTCAGAAAAAAAAAGACTTCTTAAGCTTTGATGAGTTGATGGAGTAGATATTCGTCCGTGATTTGCTCGCCAAGAGCGTAAAATTTTACGTAAGTTTCTGCAAACAAACACAGCATCTAGACTAGTTTGACTTGAATTTTCAGGTATCTGCTTTTAAAAAAAGTGAACAAATGTATTTTTTTTCAATTGAGATTTCCTGAAATGTAATGGCAAAAAGTTCTTTAAGGCAACTATGAAGTAGTGATTATAAAAATCACTTCATACCGCCTGTCGAGCTCAAATTTTCTCTAGTATTCTGACTTCGAGAAGTGTTAGATGTACAAGAAATACTGCTCAACGTGTGATCATCAGCTGTGGCACTGGCTGCTCTACACGAGTGATCCTTTTTAGATCTTTTGTCAATTTTGCTGAAAGTCCGAAATAATGTGCAATTTTTATTTTTATCATATTATTGTCATGATTTGCTTTTGTTGAAAGTGCATATGAACTGCTCAAATACGAATTTTCCCATAACAATTTGGTAATATTAGCTTTTGTCTGTTGTTTTGAAGACAATTGCACAAGAAAAGTTAGTAACTTTCAGACTGAAAAATTATTTTACTGCTAAACACAATTTGTAATTTGAATTTAATGAAAATTAAACTTTTTAGTTTTAATTAGTAATATATTTATTACTGACATCGTGAGCCATGGATATAGAAAATCAACTAAATATACATATTTTTCAAATATAACATAGTCAATCAAATTTTCATACAAATATTTGCTAGCAGAAAAAAAATAAGTTGATAACAAATAGTATAGATAAGTAATTGACCTTGATGATCTCGCAGTTCTGGCATCAATAACTGTAGATGAAACAGTTCTTGCTGACTGCAAATCTTCAAACAAGCTGGTTAGACTTTGTTTGTGAGATTTCTGTCATACAAAGTGATTCTCTCTTATTAAACTAAATACTGCACAGAAGGCCAAATTCAAGCAGTGATTCTGTTTTTCAAAAACAATTCTCAAAAATTTTGCTTAATTTTGGAATAATTATTAAAAAATTGCTTAAACATAAATTAAAACAATGAGTAATAATTTATAATTGATATATTCACATTATTGACCTGAAATTTTTGTTTTTTCCTTTTTTTCTTTTCTCGTATCTCGCAATGTATTCTGCGTTTCTTCTTCCTTACCAGCTTTTTGCACGCTTTGATGTTTTGATCGAAAAGAAGCCTCACGTGGTTTCTTACTTACTACTATGGGTTGCTCAGGCATTTTTTGATATGTGCAAGCAGCATTGCGATTTCTCCTTTCATCAAAACGATTTGTTAGTTTTGATATTAATGAAGTAGCGCTTTTCACTAAAATGTGCACAAAGTTTACAAATTTTGAAGCCTAAAATTAATTTTAATTAATTATTAGGAAAGTGAACAGAAAGCATTCAGTAAGTACTATTTTGATTTCAATTTTTTAAATTCAAAAAAATAATTTTATAAATTTTTTTGAAAGTTCTATTAGCAGAAAAGGCATAAATTTGTGCTAGCAACGTGCTGTAAAAATTAATGCTTTCCAATGTAGGAAAAAGTTCTGAATTACCTGGCGTTGCATTCTTAACTTTTCGCAAGTAACTTTTGCTTCCCAATAATCCCATTTACTTAACTAAAATAATTAAATTCGGCCGGAAACTAATAAATTCACTTCTGTTTTAAGTGAATTTTTCACGTAAGTCTTTAAAATTAAATAAACTTTGGTCGTTTTATTTTCAAAATTAATCAAATTTTCACAAAAATATAACGATAAAAAGAGTCGACCAACCAACCTGAAAAATAAGCTAACAATGAATTGTACAACCAATTTATGGAGAATTTAATATCATTTTAAAATCGAAATGACTACAAATGCTAACATTTAAGATAAATTATAAAGTAAAAACGTGTAAGAGCTTTTACTTTATAATTTAAACATTTAAAAAAATACTTTTCTTAATAACTATTATTATTGTGGTATTTGTAACTGAAAAACAGCTTCTTCATTTATCAGGCAGATAACTTGCATAAAATTTTTATTTTTTCGTTATCGTAATCTTCTAGCATTCCATTACAGTCATTAAATTATCGATATAAAAAACTGACAATTTCGTATATTGCTTTCGACATCAAAAGTTACAAATTATATAAATTTTATTAGTTACAGTATGTTATTTCCAAACATTTATTTATGCCTTTCATTGCAAAAAATTTTTATTCTTTTTTCAAAGACTATTTTTTAGTAAATTATATTAGGAAATGCATATAATCTTTGCAGTTATTTTAAGAGTAATTTATGATAGACTAAAACGCTTTAGACCGTTTTTTTAGCTTAAATGAATATCCAAATATATAGTTTTTGAATTAAAGTGTACAAAATTAAACAGCCTTTTGTATAAAAATCGAAAAAGTTGCTGGGTCTGAATGAAAGTAAATCAGGCGTGGAGAAAGACGGAAAGAAAGTGAAAAGTAAAAATTTTTGTAAAAATATTGCTTACTGACATTAGAAGTCAAAAAAATCTAACGTCAAAGAGACACGTAAGAAAGACCCTCTATGTGAGACACACATTGGTTACAACTTTATTTTTTATACCAAAGATTTAACTGACAGCAATCAATGTAATATTATTATATTAATTGAAATTTAACAAAATAATTGTGTATGATTTTATGACGTTTTAAGGGGAAAAACTTTAAATTCACATGTATAACTTTTCAAAAACTGCTTTGGAACACAAAACTTCAAATTACGATTTTTACAGAACGGTTGGATGAAAGAGTTGAATTGTCACTTGAAACTAATTATTAAATTAATGAGAGTGTTTGAGTTCAAGTCTTGTCTCCTTTATGATTGCTTACGACCGTATTTCTGTTTTCATTATTTTCATGTGGTTTTTCGCATTTAGCCTCTTCACCACTTGATGGCTTAGCTCTGCAAGTATTCATTTAGATATTGTAATAATTTGCAAGTAACTATTCTTGTTTATATTTCAAATTATGATGATAATGAATTACAGTAAGTAATAAAATACCTTTGAGAAAGTTGCATCTTCAATGAATAATCTCGTTGGCGTCGCATGTTTGATCGTTCTGCAGATCACAACTAATTAATTTCATAAATAATATAATTATGAACAATAGCCTATAACCACATTATTTGTAAAATTAATTTATGAATAAAAATTTGATAACTTTGATTTGAGCCAAAATACATCTTTCTTTTGCTTGTATGATTTACTGAATTTTAAATTCATCAAATCATTAATGTCAGAAGACTGAGATGATGAATTTATAATAAAATTAAACTAATTTACTATTTTGTACTAAATTTATACTAATTTAGTAATTAATTAATTTATACTAAATTACAAATTAATTACTAAATTTTATACTAAAATGAATTCAATTCAACTGATAAAATTTGCTATTAATTTGAAGGATATTTTATCAAAGTACATAAGCATACCTTCAACTTTTTCTTTCACTGATGGCTCAGTCTTTGTTGGTTCTGATAAACTCTTGAGCAGTTTTGAAAGGTCTCTGTTTCGTTTTGATTCTTGTTTTTTGAACCAGTTACTATTTACTCTTTGTTCTGCCTGACTACGAGATGCTTCTGATTTAGCACCTGCTTCATCCGTAACCATCGTAACAGATGATTTAGACTTCCATTCATTGTTTGTGTTCTCTATATTATTTACTCTTGCAAAGTTCAAGAAGCCTCTACTTTCATTCTACGATATTTTACGGAAATTTTTTACTTTTTGATTCTTCTTTGTCTTTTTCCACGTTTGATTTGCTATCGTTCGCACCCATCGACCTCTTGGATATGTATACTAAAGACTGTTCAAATGCATATTTACAGTTAAATAATTATTATTGTTGAACAGTACTCGTCCATTATAAACTGCTACTATTTTGTACGAACTAAACAGCCATTACAAAGTATTATCACTCTAAAAAACACCTACTTAACTTGATGTGCTGCTATCAATGATCTGAAATTTACTATAAAACTTCGCATTAATATAAAATGCATTATAAATTTGCAAAATTATTGCTGATAATTAAAAATTAAAAAAATTCTTTAAATAGCAAATTTTAGAAGAAAAACTCATTTTTAAATGTTAAAAAGCGGTGATATGAACAAGGAAGATGAGGTGGACATTCGCTCTGAAACTCATTTGGCTCTTACTGAGTGAGCGTTTCGAAGTCTGAGGACTCGGAATACTTTTTTGCTTATATTTAAATGAATTCAAGATAAGACTAATTCTCGATCTTAATAAATAGTTCTGACCGTTTGAAATTACTCCTAATTTTGATTATTATCAAATCATTAAATTTGTTTTACATTTGCTTCTTTAAAGTTTTAGAAAATTTGATTAATCTAAAATTTTAAGCTGTCTTTTTTGCAAACAAAAAAGATCTAATTACATTTTATATTGTGTTTGTCTTCAGCTCAGTTGTTTTTTAAATCATTTTTTGCAAAAAATTTCACGTTTATGTCGAATACATGAAGTTTTGCAGTGATATGACGGAGCACATATCAAGTCGACCTTTTCCAAAATCTGATATTGTCATCTTGCGAACAAGACGTCGTAATTATCCCATAAAAATAGAAAATTTTGCCAATTGCTCAGATAAAATAGCACTGGTAACTGTTTAATTAATTTACTATAAAACTTCGTATCTAAAATTCTTGTAACAATTCCTTACTAGAAGAATTAATTTTAAAACTATTTGCGATTTAGAGAACTAATGATCTAATGATTCTAATGTATCACATCACCAAGATGATTCTAATGTACATTAAGATGTAATTTTTGAGATTTTCGAAAAATAATACAAAATCCACTCATAAAAACTTTGAAATGTATTATCCTAATAATTTATACAAAATTGCACTGCGTAATTTCTGAAAAATCTCATTCAAAAGTCACTGATCTGAAATTTTTTCTGAAAGATAATGAATGTAGAAAAGTGAGTTCAGTTGGTGAAACGTGGACAAGTTCCAGCGGCAATTGACTTGTCGTGTTATAACATTGGAGCTGTTCGCACACTGACGGATTTCGTTGCTGGAGTGGATCGGCGTAATTTACGACTAGGAGATAACATTTTAAAGGATTTGCTGCAGTTAGCACGTATTTTTCGTATGCAGGAATTTACCACTTTGATCGTTGAAGTCAGTAATTATTTAAATTAAATAATTAAAGTAAAACGATAACTTGTTGTCATAATGAAAAAATTTTATTTGATTTGTTATTGAAAATTCGACATGATGAAAGTGATACTGATTACTTTTAAACTTACTGTACTGAATAAATAATAAATAAAATAAATAATAAATGGTAATAAGATCAAATTTGAAAGCAAAACTTAAGAATTACTGTCAAATGCGGAATTTTCAAAAATGCAAAGTGAAATTTAGAGCAACGACAAGTCATTATGGAGATGTTGCAAAGCTTACAATATTTGCTTAATTATTATAGCACATTGTCGACAAAGTTGAAAAAGGACCTGCGTCAAATCTTCTGCTAGCTCTGAATCTCATATCCTCTGACTGGAGCATGTTTTTGCACTTCAATGAAGCATCAGCACTTGTGGAATCAGCCGTGGAGAATATTTGTGAAGTTACTTTGTCTACATTTTTTTACAGTCTGCCTGCTGCAGTACTTGCGATACTATACAACAGGTACTGCATTAAGCTCTTGATCAGCAAAGTATCGAAGCAATTTGTTTAGATATTTCACTGACTTGCTCAGTCAGATCACTTATCCATGTCATAGATGTGATGTGGGTATATCATCAGAAATTGAACTGTGTCTACGTTTCATCCGTTGGCTGAAGAAAGCAGCTCGTACGAATGATGACGCTGAAGTACTTTTCTCTTGCGTGCGCTCGGCATTTCTAAGCTCAAAAGATCGTGAAATTATAAAAGACAAGTATATTGGACTGCCCAAAATTGTAAGTACTTTATAATATTATGTAAATAACTTAATTTTCTGAAAAAATTAGATATTTACATTTTGTATTAGGTAAAAGTCCGTGTAAGTATTGTGAAAGAAACGCTTGCTTTATTTGATCAAATGTAAAGCAATTTACAAAGTTACATTTTTAGTTCTGAATGTGACACTTTACTTTTACTGATGAGTTTCTTGACGTTGAGCATCAGTCATTAGTGCTTACTTAATTGTGCACTATTAACTTCTGCAAAAAAGTTGCATACTAATTTGAAAGGTCAGGTAAGATTTAAGGTTAACTTTTGTGGTACAGAAAACTGTTATTTTTTAGTGATTGGGATTGAGATTCCTTATCAACTTTATACCTGTCTTCTGATGCATTAATAATAAATTTTAATGCTGACGATGTTCGACATTGAAATTTTTTTTCAATTAAAAAAAGTATTTTAAGAAAATAGCTTAAGAAGAAGCAGCAAATAAAAATCGCTGCACAGAGTAATTATTTCAAACTTTTGATGACTTTAATAATCAGTATCTTTTATCTGTACACTGATTTTGACGTATAATTAAGCATTTAGATGGCAATCTTGATTGAGCAAACATTGGACTCACCACGTAATCATCGCTGTTGTGTTATACGTGATCATATTGAGCGTCATTATCCACGTTGTGGAATTCCTGAGAGCAACAGATATTTCAAAATTAATCTTATTGACATCATATATAAGCCATTACAAAAATTAAATAACAAGTAGGCATAGAATAGCTTTTTTAACTAATTCTATTTATTCATTTTATATTTATTAAAAAACATTTATGTGAAAACGTAATAAAATTTTATCAGTAGTTAATAGAGAATTTCATTTGTATTATTGTTTGTCTATTTTATAATTTTTATAATTTTAAGTAATTGAATACTTTTATTTCTTTTATCATTAAATTTATTTTTACCATTCACATTTTAAAAAAGTAAAATATAACTTCAAGTGGCACTTAGACGTAGTTCGAGCAAAACATGCTACACGAGTCTAAGGTTTATCTATATGTAAGGCTAGCGTTTTTTTGAATATTCAGTTTTACAAGCTGTTTTACGTTAATCTTCGATTATTAGTAACTTTTTAGGTTTTGACCAATTTCAGAAATTTGCGATTTGAAACCTTTTAAGCAAGAGATTACATTTGATAATGTCACTGAATATTTGAATATATTTGAGTATGTATTTGAATAATTCACAAAGTCATTATTTTAGAAATGAAAAGGAAATGTATTCGCTCACTCCATGCATAGAGTTAGAAACTGCTCGTATTAACAGCGCTGATTCACATTCTAAGAATAGCACTGCAACTCAAGAAACAAGTTCATTTTGCTACTGACTTCGAGATTTTTAGCTCTAAGACCAAACTTATGTCTTTTTTTATAATTCATTAATCAAATAATACTAAACTAATACAAGGAAATTTAAGAAAACGTGAAAGCACAGGGCTATTGCTTATAAATTACTGTAAACTGTAAACTTGTTTTCTTATACATTTACTAAGATGATGTCTGTATATTTTAGAAATGTTTCAAAATTTATTACATTCGAAAGTGAAACATTACGAGTTTGTAATAGCGCCAACTTCTTAAGTTGAGAACCAAACTGTGATGAGAATGTGAATTTACAGCACAAAGTTACCTAATTAAAAGTAACGAAGTAACTACCTTACAGCTACACTTAATGACTACTACATGCATAAGCATCCTCACAAGAGACAAGACAAACCAGTGAAACTTAGTCATCAGGACCTAGCCCAGTACACATTATGTAAATTTTTACTTCAAGTTTGTTTATTTGCATTTGCAAATTAAATTGTTTAGCCTTGTCTTTATTGATACTATCTCTGGAAAAGGAAAAAATCAGCAAAATTTCAACTCAGTTTCAATTTTCCTTCATGTACTTAATATTCATAGTTTCTGTATTACGATTACAAACATTTTCATTTATAGATAGTAATAAAATAGGAAAATTGGATCGAAGAAATTGAATTTTTTATTTTCATCTAAATTTTTTATTTGATAATTAAATTCCAAAAATAAAAAAGCTTGCAGTCAATGATGGCAGCTCAGAGAGGAAAGGTCAAAGTGATAGTAAGAGAAAAACGCACGAAAAAAATGAAAGTAATTACAATATTTAAAAATTTGTACAATGAAGAATTATCTCTTAAGATGGCTTAGTATATTTGTTGAATGCATCTTTTGATTTTCAGATATTTCGTGTCTATCAGATGGATCTGGAGAATCTAACTGAATAATATCCGGATAGTCCTGAAGCTTTTTTACCTCTCAGATTATGCAATTCGTGAAAATTATCGCATTCAAAGTTTACTTTGTGGATATTTAATGATAATAACAAAAAACACTATTTATTTTTATCATTAATTGCTTGCTAGTGCTTTTTATGAATTGTTTATTATTGAAGCATTGATCAACTTCAGTTTTTCATTATTTGCCAAAAAATATATCTTTTTTGAAAGTGAAATAAGGGACTTATCGGATTTGTGTCTGCAAGTTAGCAATTTTTGTACTGAAAACTTGGTATTTGTAAAACAAATGCGTAATTAACAAGTAAAACAAACTTTTCTTCCGTCATTCGATGTGCTTACTTTTTCAGGTGTAAATTTTTTACGTTCATATTTTTTGGTCTAAAAGTTTTTAAGTTAAGCGGTTTCAAATAGAAATTTCTATATTCAAATGTATTGTGTGCGTTGTATTAAATTTAGGAAATAATTCGAAAATGACAAAGTTAAGTTCTGATTTTTTCTTTTCAATCTAATTTAAAGTAAACATAAATTTACTTTAAATTTATGAGACAAAATATGTGTACAAAAACAATAGCAAATTTGGTGCAAAATTATTTTCAAAGCGCAAAAAATTGTAAAATTTATCAGCATTTATCATTTGAGCTCAAGAAAAAAGTAAAAATTTTTATGAATAGATAATTTATTCAAATATTTGTTAATAAGTAAGTGCTAATAAAGGCGGACATGACAGGAAGCTGGAAAAGAATTTCTGAAAGCACTTTTACTATTCAAATTGCTTAATTTTCTTCAGCGAAATTGAAGATAAAGCGAGTGCAAAGTTCATCTCCCTCACCCAACGCGCACCATTTGTTTCGCTACTGAAGACTTTCCGAATGGTTTCGGATTAGGCACCTATAATTCCAATGAATCTTCACATTTGCAAAGTAAGGTCATGTTTTTAATTTGTGGGAACGAAGTGATTGGTAATAGTAAACTCTCTGGTTTCTGTTTCAGAACAAAAGATCCAACACACTGCTGACAATTAAGAATACAGCTTTTTTGATATCTAATTTATAAAATTATTAAAAATAAAACAAATACATCAGTGAGTAGAAAATTATTTTTGATATTAATTAAGTAATTTTCTTCCTAACACTAATTTACGAAGAAAAATGCTCGAAATAGATTACTTTGGCCATATGAAAGTAGACGTCTTTACTCTGCAAAGTTTTTATTCATAATATTACTTATTATCAATATTTTCAATCATTATTTAAAATTATTCTTCAATTGTAAGCTAACCGGTTTGACTGTTTTCTCGACGATTATTTCTTCCTGACGATCAACAACTGCTGAAAATGTTTGCTTATTATCCATTTTATCTGTTATTAATAATTATTGAAATGAGTAAATAAGCTATGCACAGTCGACTTACGTCCGTACTCTGGTGGTGGTGGTGGCCACTGACGTTGATTCGGTTTTACTGGCAACCGAGTTTGGAGAATTTCCACCTCTTGCTGCACTTGATGCTCAAATTCTGGTGGTGGCCATTGTACGTTTGATAGTCGAACACCTAAACTATTAATTACTTATTCTAAATGATATTTCCTTTTTATATGTTTAATTTTTCAAAACTATTTGTTGTTTCGAATTACAATTTCATGAAATACAAGTCTGAATATTATCAATGAATCCCATAGTTTCATTAGTTCTGTTAAATAACAATGCACTACAAAAAATTTTAATCTGCAAAAATATTCTAAATAATCTCATTAAAGTCAATTTGTACATAAGATGCAAACATGAATAACTGATAAATTACATAGAACTGAAACATGAACAAAATCTTCGTTTGTATGACATTCAACTGTACGCATGCAAAAAAATTACAATAGTGATTATGGAAATCAAAATCAGTTATCAGTTTATCTTTCAACTGATAATTTTGCTGCTCAATTAATAATGGATCCATGACAATAATTCAATACGCATTTAACAAAGCCAAGAACAAATCTCTTAGTTTTTCGAGAAAAGAGTTTTTTTCCTGATTATTATCATTAGTAATAATTATAATAACTGATAACTATACCGAACATAACTGAATAAATGCTTTGTTAATCTAACTTTTTAGTTACATAATCGCAGTCATCAACTCCTAAAATAATTATTACCAGGAATAATTACAGTTATGGAAATGAATATAGTATAAACGTTACAAATAACTTTGATTCTGATACGATTACTTTTTGGAAGTTGATAACTTTGAAAAAATTTACTAATCATAAGTTATAACTGTCAATTATTTGTAGTTTCAGAAGAAAAAAGTTTCACTTATTACTTTAATGATATATGAATTTTGTTTTAACGAAATAAAAGTTCAAATTCTTAAATTAATCTAAAAATAATCATTTTTGGAATGCATATGAATGTTTCTTACCTCTGAACTCATTTGCACGAACTTCGTTTTCAGGTGGTGGCCAAACCCTTTGTTCACGCAAATTACTTGGAATTGCCTTAGCCCAAATCGTTTTTGATTCAGCGTCACTTTTGTCCTATAAATTATTTCAGTAACAGTTTGTTTAGTAATCAAAAATTTCGTCAAAATATTGTATACGTAAAAACGTGAAAAAAATTAAGTATGAAAATGAGAATGCTTTTGCACAAGTAATAGAAGTCAGCAGCTAAGCAAATGAGTACTCACATCACGTCTCCAAGCCGTGTCATCAGTTGTTTTCGCCAATTTCACTTCTTGTCTGAAGAACTTCATTCAAGTTAACATTTTATTTCTACTAATTGCTTCAGAGCACTTTTCTATCAACTATTTTTTTGCTTTTGACTGCCAATTTTTTCTATTGCCTACAAGATGGAAAACAATTTTTTCACAACTGAATTCTTTGCACGTTGCAGTTCTCTTCAGGTGTAATAGAATTTACTTCTCGCACTTTTATTATTGAAGTTTTCTGCTATGAAAATAAATTTCATATTTTTGAACTTTGAACCATAGTGGGATTAAAAAAATTCAATTTTAACGAGGCCAACAGGATATTCTAAAGATCAACCTCTTGGCTAAGTAAGTAAGAAGACAAGTTAGTATAAATTAATTATGAAGTCGCACAGCAACAAATTGTTATATGTGAGCCAACAAAAATCTAAACTGGAAAAATTGTCATAATTTGATCTACTATGTTTTTTATACCTATTCAGCTCTTATTGGTATAACACTTTCATACTAATTTAACATTTGCTTAAATTTATATTTTATGCAATATCTTAATTATTAGTACTACTTAAGAAAGTTGTTAATTCTATAAACTTTCAATCACAAAAAAAAATAAAAGGAAATGCGAACCGCGGTGCGATATTTTCATCTTGTGGTGGTGGCCAAATATGTCCAATACGTCCTGGTTGGTAAGCACTTCGTGTCGGTTGAGCACCAACTATCACTTCCTAATATTCATGCAAATTTATTAGCTAATTTATTTTTCTGAATATGGAAAGATGTAAGAATTTCCGTACTCTTCCAAGTAATGATATAAGTGATTACATGTCACTGTCTTAACTTGAATTAAATTTTAAACCGAATTATGCTACTAATAATATCAGAACTTGTTTATCGGGGTGCCATTCTCCAGCCTTAACTCTCGGAACATCTCTCAGCTCCTTCACTTCATCTTGAGGGAATTCGTTCCATTGCACACGTGTTGTTTGCGTAGGTCGAGGAACAATTACTGTTTGCTGAAAGCTTTATTTCAACTATTTATTTTGAATAAAAAAACTTTCTCTTATCCGTTCTTTACAACTCTATGTATTAGACAATGAAGTAAAAATAAAAATGATGCAGAAAAAAGTCGAAATGAGATTAAATATTGCTCAATTTGACTTTCTAGCGTTACTTTAACGTCGTAATTTATAACGTGGTGAAGTGATAAATTAGCAGACTACTTTTGATAACACTGCTAGACATTTCTTCACTTGAAATTTTCTTTTCATAGTTAGTTCAAGTTAGTTAGTTTCAGTTAGATTAGTTCACTTACTTAGAAGTTCGAACTGACATTTGCACATTGCTTTAATGCTCGGTTTTATAATACTTTTTTTGCAGTTGTAAAAAAACTTTCAAAAATATAAATGAAACTTAATTGAATTCATTTTAAACCTATTCTTTAAGAATTTGGATGTTAGATTCATATATCTATCTACCAGTCTATCTGCCAATCTATCTACCTATCTATCTATCTATCTATCTATCTACCTATCTACCTATCTATCTATCTATCTATCTATCTATCTACCTATCTATCTATTTCTTTTCATTTATTAGACTAATGATTGAATTTTCCTTTAATCTTGAAAGACTTTTTACTGCTTGATTTCAAAAAGACAGTTGACTTTGTGAATGTGTTTCTCACAAAATTGAGAGAGTAAATAACAGATAAGTTAGATAAATAGTAGTCAGGTGGGTGGATGTTTAATAATGAATCAGTTGGTGCATTTTTGCTACCACAAATCTTTTAATAACTTTTTCAATTTTGTTATTTTTCTCAACTTTTTTATTACAGCAAAAAGTTTAAATTGTTGAAAAATTAAAGATTGTACACTTCCACCTTAACTTCAACGGCTCCATGCAGTTCTGGGATAGCAATTTTGGCTGGCTGAGGAGGTTGAACTACATTTGGCACGCGACTTTGTGTGACCCAAAACTGATCATTCTAAAATTCAAACAAAAATCATACTGAAATTCAATAAATCAAAAAATGTACCTAACGAAATATATAAAAGATGATAAAGATTCAAAACATTTTTAAAATTGATAAATACAAATATACTTTGTAAGCAATTAAATACTGAAATTTAAATAATAAGTTTCATAAGTTACTTTTCAATGCCATACAGATAAAATATTCGATTTTTTTCATATGAATTTGGATTTTGTTGCTAAGAATACTTCACTCAATACTGAACTGCTCGGAATGATTACAGCATATTTCAAGTGTAAAAAATAATCCTATGAGATCATAACTGATGCATCAAAGTATGTCACGTCATATCATTTCATATCATATCATATCACGTCATATCATGTCATGTTGTGTTATCACTACGGGACATGTTTTTTACACATTCTTTCCGTGTAGTATCGCTGATGATCTCAAAATCTTAATAACAATATTAAATGTTTTTGATTGATTGAAATGAATGATTAAAGTATTGAAAACGTGCAACACATTCATATTGTGCAATAATAAACAGACATTTCTTACACCACGTCTTGCTACAGACGTGCTAAAATAATTTATAACATTACCTGAGGTTGGATAGACCTGATTTCTTGAGGGGGTAAGGTCTGCTCGGGTTTAGAGAGCTTTCTGAGATAAGCCTGTTGTACCTCACCACCACGCATCACGTAAACTTCACCTCCGTCACTTCGAGGAATGAGTGAATCTACTTCGTGATGTTTGATAGGGGCTATCTGAGTCCCTTGCACTTGCCCTGCTCCACCCCTTTCTCCACCTACAGGCACTTCAGGTTTAATCGATCTACCACCTGATGCTGCACGTGTTGCCCCTAACTGCTCGACCCTTGTTGGTTGTGGCTTTGCAGGTACTACTGGGCCTTTCTGCGGCTGCTGCTGCTGCTTTACCGGCACCTGAGGTTGTCTAGTTTGCACCTGAGGTTGCTTAGCTGGTACCTGAGGTTGTGGACGGGATTGAGCTTCTGTTATTCGATTTTTTTGAGCTTGATGGGCTTGCTCAGCTGCTTTCATCTTAGCTTGCTGCTGAGCTCTAAGCTGCTCGGCACGTTCGCGCTCTACTTTGATCTGAGCTTCACGTTTAGCTCGAGCTTCCTCTGCCGATGTTGCTGGTGCGAGATGTGCTTTGGGTTGACCTGTGATTGATTTGACCTCTGCATCAGGTTGAGGATTGAAAGCAGCAGCCTGAGTTGCTGCTCGTTGCTTTGCTGCTTTTTGTGCATCAGCCTTGGCTTGCTCTGCCCTTCGTAATGCTTCTTCTTGAGCTTTCGATTGAGCTTCCATTTGTGCTTTTCTAGCCTTTGCTTCAGCTTCAGCTCGAGCTCTTGCCTGAACTTCAGCTTGAGCCCTTGCTTCGGCCTCAGCCTTAGCTTTTTTTTCAGCTTCAGCTCGAGCTCTTGCCTCGGCTTCATCTCTAGCTTTTTTTCCAGCTTCAGCTCGAGCTTTAGCCTCAGCTTGAGCTTGTTTTGCACGTTCCTGAGCTTCTTTCAATGCTCGTTCCTGTGCTCGTTTTACTGCTTCCTCCTGTTGAGCTCGAACTTGTGCCTGACGTTCTTCCGCCTTTCGTCGTTCTTCTTGTGCTTTTGCACGAGCTTCAGCTTCCTTTCTCGCAATTTCTTCAGAATCAAAGTTGACCTCTTTTACGCTATGATCTATCACTTTGGTTTCGTCAACTGAAAATCTTGCATATTTTTCACAAAATATAATAAGATTATTGTGCTATGCTTTCTTTTACAAAAAAAATTACACAAGCTGAATTACATATCTAATCTTTAAGTTGCGCAGCAAACCAACCAATTTTGCTCCCCTGATTGGTGGTTGTAAGAGTTGCTAAGTTGTCTTGTTGAACTTCAGGTGCTTTGGTAGTGACCATCTTAAATGCGCTGGGTCTCCGAACCACAGCTGCAACTTCCTCTTCCTCCTCTTCCTCTTCCTCTTCTTCTTCTTCGCTACTGTATGGTGGCATCTTTTTTCCTACACATATGATTATTTCTTATTATTATTCACTATTAACAGCAAGAAAAACGCAAAGCTTCATACAAAAATCGTTACAGTCTGTAACAAAATGCATTAAAAGTTTTAAATTTGAAAAAATTAGCAAGTAAGCAAAAAGTTCGAGTCTAAGAAGCGTGAAAAGTAATTGACTACTTCTTTTGTTTTATAAAAATTAGTGCAATTAAATATTAAAAAGTATAATACAATTTAATTAATTAATTTCAATCAAAAATCTTTTTTAAAACCAAACAAATAGCCTTTCAAATATAAAAACAATTCTTATAAAAGTAAAATTATCACTCAAAGTTTTGATGCATTTTTTAAATTCAAGAAAAATGTATTCTTTTTAAAAAGTATAAATGAAGCATAACTTTTAATACATAAATAAATTAACGACATTTAAATCAGTTTTAGTTTTGTGGTACTTTGCTACAATTATGCATATATAAGTACCGTGAATACTCGTCACTTGTTCGCACTTTTTATAATCAAAATTTAAATTTAAAAGATATATCATAATTTTAAATATAAAATTTTTAAATTGACAGCAAAATGTGGAATTGAAGTTAATTGATGTAATGAAACACTGCAAAGTAGCTTAAACACAAAACACTAAAATGATAAACACATATATATATATTTGTTTGTAATAAGCTTTAATTGAAAAATAATTATGGTCGAAATAAAGCAATTTTATTTGCATTCAAATTATCACATACAAAAACTTAATCCGATTGAGGCTGAACAAAAATTAGTGCTAAATGAATGGAATATATTGAAAGTAATTAGCAATTTTATTATTATTATTTTTATTACGACTTACTTTGTTGTATAAATTAGGAAAAAAGCTAAGAATTAAATATTAAGCAAAACTTACTTGAAAAAAGCCGAAATTGCACGTTATAATATTATTTTTCATGAGTAAATAAGCAAAAAATAGTCTTGCTTATAGCAACGGATCAAAATAACAAATTATGAAGTTGGATCAAAAATAATAAATTATGAAGTGTAAATGTAAGCAGAAATATGTACTATTAATATGTGAATAATATTATTAATTCATCACGGCTAATATACATTTTTGTAATTATCCTTCTTGTTAAACTTGATTGTTCTTATTAAACTGATTAAGCAGTTAATAACAGCTAACTTTTTAATTAGCATAATGAAGCATACGGCCAAAATGCTGAAAAAAATTCAATGAATTCAAAATTTTGTTTTAATAAAGTTTAAAAATTCGGTAACTCAACAAAAAAATTTAAAGTTAGCGTAAATTTGAATTTAAAGTTTTTTTTTTTTCAAAAATGACGTCTTAAGCATTTGTTTCTGAAAAAATCAAAAAGTAAGCAAGCCACAAGTCCATCATGTCTATTTGCAATACTCATCAAAAAATTAGCTTAATTAAGCGAATATTTAAAAAGTTCCAAAATTAAAGTAAAAAATTTTAGTGCCATAAAAGTGACAAATTTTAATGCAATGCAAACGCTTGCTGTTTTTCATGAAGGAAAGGTATTTTTGCATAATTTGCAGTGATTGCTTGAAGTATTTGTTTGGTTAATTTTAAATAAACTTTATAATTGGTATAATTTGCGAAAAATGGATAAAAAAAAAACAAAAATGTACTTAATATTGGGAGAATTTCAAGGAAACATCGAGAAAGAGCCATTGCAACGCATTTTCGAGGATTAAAAGTAACAACGAATATTAATGTTTGTGAGGAGAAGCAACAGGAAAGATCGTTGCGTCGTTTTTAAGGACTAATTGAAGAAGCAAAAGTTTATTCCTTTGCTTCAGCCCAACCCTAAAAACATTCTGAACAAGTAGTGAGTATGAATGTATATTCACGTGTGTAGGTGTATCATTTGCTGGCTTAAAATATATTTAGATGTGTTTAAAAGCAAGACTGATCTTTTTATGAATGATTGTGAGATAAAGACAAAATAAACCTTTCTGATGCTTTGTTTTGACTTGCCTCTTCTCATTTCTATATTATTTCCACAATGATTGAAAGCAGTTAACCAGTCACAAATGAACTTTAACCTCATGTAGTAGAATGATATCATTTAGGTCAATTTGGATGTTAGCATTTCAATACTTTCAACTATATCAAACTGATTAATGTAGCAAACATATAAAGTAAGCTGAATGAGTAGCTGAAAGTTTGCATATTAAATGATTAAATGTTGAGTTAAGAAAATAAAATTGCATATGCAATGTTGATTCGTGATGAAAAACTATTAAATTGGAAATAAATAATCAAAATAATCTTAAGACTGAATTTGCTAGTAGAACAAAATACTTCGTTTCTAATCTTAAACGATGACCTTTAACCTTTTAGAACTTTAAAGTCATATAATATTTCGTTCCGTCATATTTTTTGAATTTCGCAAATCCGGTGAGTTAAAATAAATTAAAATTGCTATCATATTTCAGCTCATTTTTATAAATAAGCTTACGATTGTTTTTCCAACTATTTTTTTCACTTCTCAAGAAAACATAAACCATAAAAAATGAGGTTGATGCTACATGGTGCGATATAAAAGCTGTAAATATAAGACTAGTCTTAACTTCGGTACTTCCATCTGCCTTTCCTGACTTTTACTGCCATAAAAATGCTCGAAATTGTATTGTCTGGCAACGACGAAAAGAAATTTTTGAAATGAAAATAGTATACACTTTGCTATCTTTTAATGGTTCCAAAGCGATTAGATCTGTTTTATTGTAGTCAAAAATTCACTGGAGCAGCTGTTAGTTTAAATTACAATAAAGAGATTTGCAAAGCTGAAAAAAAGTTGGTTTTTGTTTTCAACACACATTTCTTTTATTAGTTATTTTAAAATAGTGATGTTGAATTGGGTCAAAGTTCACCAAATAGTTTTAAATTTTTTGTTGACTGCTAGTTTAAGCACCTTAAGAACATAGACAGCAATAAAAGATATTAAAACAAAAAATTCACTTAAATAAAAACAAGAATTTTGCTTGAACTCCTTAATAAAATATAAGTGCTATAGTTATTTCTGTATACATGTATGTTTTTTAGGTCAAAATCTTACAAACATTTTCACATTACACTCTCGCAATATTTTAATATTTTGAAATTAAAAAACATTCATTGCATATTTTTCATTCAAAAATTCAAAGTTAGTGAACAAATTTGAAGCGCAAAGTGTGTGATATTGACTGATCTATTCAAATATACCAAATTCTCGTTTGTAATGAGATATAAAACTTTTTTAAATTTGAAATTAAAAAAATAGAGCAATAAACCTGAACAAATGATTAGATAGAATACGTAGAGAAGTAATAGAAGGATATAATCAACGCAAACGATCATATTAACGGGAACATCTGTTGTTATTGTTGTTGTTATTATTGTTTTTGAAACTTTCAATTTTCGAATTAAAATTGAAGCAAAAGTTCCTTTAGTTCATATTTTATTTAAGCTGAAATTAAGAGTTAAAATGTTATAATTTTACACAAAAATAGAACTAAAATAGTTGTTGTTCAATTACATTCATAAAAAGTATTAGCAATTTATTTAGTGCACTAAAATAAATTATTTTTTAGAATTAATGAAATGATATTTGCAAAGATTGATCTGATAAAGTAATTTATAATTCAAAAGTAAAGCTAAAAACAAATTTTGTATTCTAAAGTTTGAAAAAAATCAGTGCTATGCTATAAGCTTTTCATCTCACGAAAGTAATGCAAAAGAAAAGAGTTCGAAAAGCTAACGAAAACCAAGTACCCAATTGATATATCTGAAGTGAAGAAGTCAAACTTTTGAAGAGTTCGGGATTCGATGAATCCCTCTATCCACTGTTCAAATTACATAGTACGAGTCTGAAGCCTAAAATTATTTTGATACTAATTTTTTTGAAAATTGATCTCAGTAATTTGATCTACTTTTAGTAAAATTTGACTTCCTTTTCGAATCATTTGCTTTACTGTTTCACTAGTTTAAATCATGGAATATTGTCTCTAAAGAATTTTTAAATTTGTTCATTTTTTATATAAACAATTAAAAGTTGGTCAGCGATATATTTTTTGAAATTTCAGCACACTCTAACTATGAGATACTTTTTAAAATATTATTAATCCATATTGTAACCTTAAGCATATTAACAAGTATTTTTGTTGAAAAAATAACTCCTATCATCAGGTTAGTTTTTTTAATTCGCTCATGTCTAGCTTACCTCCAGTTTAAGTTACCTTAGAGTACTTTAGCTGATAGTTTAAAATGATATCAGCTATCCATTAACCACAAATCTCTCCTAGGAAACAACTGATCTTTCTCATAGATTGATAATATGATTGTTGATAGTGATTAATTCATTTTAATCGTACTTAAATAACGACTTTTCAATACAAAGAAGCATCTATTCTTTTTTGATATATCTCAAAGAATAAATAAAATGAGTGATTAATTTTTTGATTTTGGAGAAAGCGCTGCTCCCAATATAAATTTCAAATTAAGTCGGTTAAAATTAATCAAATTGTGGTTATGAATGAGCAGAATAAAGTGATTTATTATTCATTTAATTTGATCAAGTATTAGTTTTTAAAATCACTTTTCTACAAATCATTATGACTTACTGACAAAATTACAATCTAATTTAGTAAGCAAACAACAATAAGAATGAAACTAATTTACCAATTATTTTTATCAATAATTTGTATCAAATTCTAACTTCTTAAGTTTTTAAAGATCTAGTCCAACTTTCCTAGTGTGCTTCGAAATTTTTTATATTCACCAACTAGTTTTCTAACTTGAATGCATTTCGAGTTAGCTACAAAGAAAATGTGTACAAATTGTTTGCTTAAAACTCAGTGAATAATTTTTGCATACTTCAGCTTTCTTTTACTGTTTTCACAATCATACCTTGACCCGGCAATATAGCAATTGTTCATCACGTTCATTTGAACTGTTTGATCAGTTGGTGGAAGACTTTTCTTGCCAAAATGAAATCAAACACTCCAGAAAAACTGATCATCTTTATAGCAATTGCAAGCGGAAATAAAATGTGAAAAGCACAAAAAAGCACATATTTGTGACAAAAATGTCTAATATTAATTTAATTTCTTCATCCGCAACGATTAATTGATTCTGAAGAGTGTAAGCAGCATCTGTCTTTTGATGAATAAGTTATAACTGCACTCAGAATATTACAGTAATAACTTTTATCAAAAACTACAAATCTGATAATAATATAGCACTAATTACTGCTTAAAAATTTTTGACTTTCTAAGTAAATTACAATTTAAGAAGCTTTTTGTAATAACGTAAACTAGTCGTAAAGTAAGTAGAAAATCAAATGTGTCTCAGATGAGATAAAGCTTACCAAATAATCTAAGCAGCAACGCTTTTATTCTGCTCACTCACTTTGAGCTCTGAATTAATATGAAATTGAGGAGAAAGTTCTCAATTACATGCATGAGCATATTTCTATATTATTACGGAATCGTTTTGATTCAACATACAATTTCAATTAAAACAAACAAGTATCACAAAACAATGCAATTAAAATTACTTCTTATGGCATATTGTCAACAAATTTCAAATTCTGTGACGCTTATATACAAACAGAAAACCGATTACTACAATTTTTTATAATTATGCTATTTATTATTATTATTATTATTATTGTTATTATTATTATTAGTATTATTAATAATTTTTGGTATTATATTTATAATTGGTTTTTGTTATTAATCACAGTATAAAAGATATGGTAGAGATAATATTAACCAAAGTAGTGACAAAAACAATCGCACGAAGCATTATGAAAACGAAGTGCGATCAAGTGCGTGAGTTAATTAGATTCACATAAAATTTGAAAGTTAGAATTTATAACTTTTAATTTGTGTAAATTTTATTTACATCAAACAAAATTTATTGCAAAGCAGAAGATGAAAGAAACGTTTAAGCTTCAAATCTTTGGTTGTAAAATTTATGTACCAATGAAGTTATCAAATGATTACAACGTTGACTCATATATGATTATTGTAATGCTCACGCATTTATATAAAAAATTTAAAAAATTAATAAAAAATTTTGCCTGCTATCTTTAGAATGACAAATAATTCATAATTTGAAAATCAAATTTGATTATTCGCAAGTAATTTCTGTATAATCTAAAGAATACTAACAATAATTGTGATATCGTCAATCATTAATAATTGCTAATTTAGGAGTTAAAAAAATTAATATAAACACTTTTCAGCTAATTCAGGGTAAAATTCCTAGGGCCCTAAGCTCATCTTGTTGTCGTTGTAGTAAAGCTTGATTTGCTTCTAGGCGAGCTCTGCGCGTTTTATTCAAATCTATTTCTTCCCTAAAAAAGCTTGAATGTTCAAATATTTTTAGCCATTAATGCAAAAATTGCAAACAAAAATTTTTTCATAGTTTATAATGATTATTTAATCATGATTATTACTTTCAATTTGCTCATTATTTCCGAATTTTCTTTTTTAAAAAGTGTTTAAATTTAAAAAAGGTATCTAATCCGAAAATTTTCACGGAAGAATTTATTTATGCCTGAAATTAACTGTTTAATTATACTTTTAGCCTTACTCTCTACTTATTTTCGAATGGGGAAGGTAAGTTTTCCGCAGAGCTTCCTTTTTTGCAATGTACAATGACGCACCATTCATATCACTCTGAAATGACTATTAGCATAAGTATAAGAATAGAATAATCGTTATTCCTTGAAAACTTATACTAATTAATGTGATAATAATATCTGAAAACTTTATCACTCAAATATTTCTCAAAGAATAAGTTGAAAAAAAACAAAAAATTGTACATTCATGCAACTGAATATATCATTAAATATATCTTTGTCTCAAATACAAATTTCACTTTACTTTAAGTCAAACTTTACGATTTTAAGTAAAAGATTAGTCTGTAATTGTTGCGGAAGTTTCGAATCTTAAATTTGTAATAAACTATTCTTTTGACATACTTGGAAAATAAAAAATTGTTGGATAGAATTAAGCAAGCCATAAATCTTTTAAAGAACATTTGAGAAAAAAATTCAAACTGATAACAATGACCAGTGACCGAGTGATCGCCCTAATTAACATTCATATCAAACTACAAAAAAGTGAATTGTATATAATTCAAATTAACAACCTTGAAAACATCATCACTTATTTTATTAAGTGCCGGAGGAACTGGTGGATTTTCTGTAACTTTGATATGCTCAGCTTTGGTAAACTTTTTTCTCGATTTGGTTGACGGTGTTCGAGTTACAACAGGAATATGAGACTGGAGCTTTGGACTCCATTTTGGGTTTCTGCAATTGCCAACAATACCATTTTGAATTTGATAGAAAATTCTAGTAATTATTATTACTTGCTTACATCATTTTAAGCTTAATTTAATAATGGAAAGCAAAAATCTCAAAATTTGTGAACTATTATTCGAGCGAGTTTCATCAAAAAACAACCTCTGTGGTTTGTTACTTTTGATAAAGCCTTCATCTTTCGTTTCAACCACAGAAATACCATTTAGTTTTTTGCTATCTTTTTCCGCGATGCTTTCCTCGATGGCTGAATAGTTGGCAGACATTTTTTGCAAACGACTCCGATTTGGAGAATTTTGACTGGTACTCCTTGGGGGAACTACTGGGGATTTAATAAGCAGTCGTTCATTTAGCACTGAATGTGTGCTACTGATCAATTCATTTTTGTTTACTCTATTAGCTACAAAGGGAATCTCAGAAGATTCAAGACGATTGCTTGAAGATTGGATTTCTGGACTGAAAGTGCCATTTTTGTATTGCGGATCATCGATGCTTCTTGGTGGAACTATTGGTGGAACTACTGGTGAAACTACTGGTGTCATAGCCACTCTATTAGAGTCCTGTTGAGTAACTGCTTCTTGAAGAGTTAATTCTGATCCAGTAGCACTTTTATGATCACTTGTTTGATCTGTATCAATTGATAATGATGCACCTACTGATATATTACAGTTAATAAAATCGGAATTATTTTGTTCAGAATCAGTTTGATTTGATTCCACATCATGAATACCATTATATTTCAAGCAATTAAGAAAAGAGTTCTGATCGTCTTCTTCGCTTTTATTTCCAGCGTTATTTTCTTCGAATTCAGTCGCAATCGTTTCTATTTTTGGTTCGATCAGTTCACAAAATTCCATATGACTTTTTTGCATTGCATCTTTGATGCTTGCGTTTGAATAAATTGATTCTGACTGCTAAAATTCATACTCAATCATTTAAGTTAATTACTGCAAATGTAATAATACAAATATAAAAACAAAGAATGAGACAATATTTATAAGCTCATAATTTGTTCAAAGTACATAAAGATTTGAAAGAACTAGTTTATAGTAATTAAAATTAATACAAATCAGTTATTTAAGACATTTCAGAGAGTTAAAGCTTGTCTAATAATTGTACTTTAAAATCCTCACAATCCTTAATTTTTAATTCATTGCCATCTGTATCTGTATTTGACAGATACAGAATTTTATTCAGAGAAGCTTAACATTTAATCTGTGGAAATTTGAGTTTGTTTTTTTTGAATATTCCGTGATTCATTTTTGCTAATTTATTTATCAAAACTCTGAATATTTTTTAATTCAGTACAATTTAATACTAAATACAAGTGGTTGTAACGTTAACGTCCTATTGCAAAAAATCTATCAAGCTTATATCAAACCTTTTCAAATTTTGAACATTCATTCTGCTTTATTTGATCAATTTTTTCGTCTTCTTTGGGTGCTAACGAAAGTGGCGGTCGTTTACTGCGTGGTGATGGAATGCGTGTTGTTGATTGTCTCGGAGAGTTTTCTGGTGTTGATGGATTTGATATGTTTTTTAGTACTTGCAAAGATTCATTGCTAGCAAATTTATTTGACTGAATCTTTAAATCAGGAAATACTTCACTTTGTGATGTTTGAACAGTTTGCAAAGTTGATGGCGAAGTTCCTGAGTACTCATCTGTAATCACTATAGTCTCTTCGCTAATAACACAGTTTTGTACCGCTACTGCAGGTTCACTTGCTGTTGTGGATTGTGAATATGCTTTGCATCCTCTTGAAGATTCAGAATTCATTGATTCAACTAGAGCTTCAGGAGCCAAATTTTGGCTACTTCGCCGAGGAAGTTGATATTTTTGTTTGGACATAAAACTTCCACCATTTGCTATTTTTGCCGGTCTAAAAACATATCAAAAGACTATGTTACTTCGTCTTTCACTGCTGAAAGCGGAATCTAAATATTGAAGTAATATTCAATGAATTAATTTACACCAGTGAAGAAATAACAAACATTTGTGCTTTTTGGAACCGTTTAGTCAAATCTGAAGTTGAATGGCTTTTCAAAAGCGATGAAAATTGACATTCATCAACGACCGAAACTTTATGACACTTTGCAAATTCTGGGTGATCAGGTTCAATAGTTTCATCAACTAAAGACCGTTCTAGTTCAAGTCGAATCTGTAAGGTCAATCTTACCATATGCTAATAAAAATCTCGCAAATTCCATAAATTTAACTCAAATATAAGATAATTCTAGTTTTTTCAATAAGATCAAATGAAGTGTTACATGTGTTCATTGATATTTTTGATTTTTCAAAAAATTAACAGTAAGCTTTACTGCAACTGATGTGAGCTAAATTGCTATTGTAATCAAACTACTTAATTTTAAATAATTTGAACTGAAAATTCAAATTAAACTTTGTTCTAAACCGTACTGGCAGTCCATCTCATTATTTTTTTGAATATTTTTGTCTAAAATTTTCAAAAATTTTTCAAGCAGAAAAACTGGATTGCTTTACTTCTTGTAGCTAAAGTTGTGCATAAAAGTACTTTGTACGTTGAAGCGCAGCTTAGTATTGTCAGTGCATCAGTAATTGGCATGTTCTCGAAAGCAATTGTCAATTCTTTTATTTTATCGCCTAAAATTAATTTTTAATAATGAGTAATTTAATACTTTGAATGAATTTGAAATAAGAATTAATAAAAATATTTAAAACAACCGAAAAAATCATTGAAATCATACGCGCATTTACTCAAATATCACGTTGTAGATGATAACATTTTTGTTGAAATTCTTGAAGTTATTAAAAAACTCTCTACTTATTAATTTTACATATTATCACTTCAGCAGTAAGTGAAGATAAAAGATAAATTATGATTAGAATTACTTTTACCTACGAAAATATTTCCGGAACGATGAGCTGGACCATTTGGTTCCACGTGGCTGATGCAAATCCCATCTGATCTTTGAGATATGTGAAAGCCTAATGCGCTGGTATCTTTATCTAGCATGCAACGAACCACATCTTTCAGCTGAGAGTATTATTTTTGACGTTTGATTTTGAAATTTTTTTAAAATGAATCCAAATTCTGACTTTGAATCTTTGGTAGAATAATCTCAGCTCTAAATTCTTTAGTTTACTTCTGAATTTATTCAGCCATACAATTACGAACCTCAGATCTTCTGTTTACGCAAACCAAATCATAATCACAATCTGCATTTTAAATTTATTACTAATTATGTTCTAAGAACTGAAAAGTTCAAAGTTAAGATTGTTGTAATCAATAAGCAAATTCAATTACAATATTAATAGAGCTATTTGATGAGAGATCATTGTATGTTGGTTGAGATTTCAAAAAATGTGATTGCTGTTCTGGATAATTTTTCAGATTCTCAACTGAATGATCATCAGAATTCTCGAGAAATCTTGTTGCCAATGAGGTGCATGACGTCATCTGAACATTGGCATTTAAAATTGTAAACCTTGCATAAATTTAATTGTTCAAGTATAAATTACTGTTTCAAAAGCAAAATAATAAATATAATACTTAAATATCTGAAAAATTTAAATATAAACCATTAATAATGTTTTTTTGAATGTGCATAATTTTTGTCAACGTGTTT